TTTTCAGGGTGGAATAATTTTATGCCTTTGTGCCAGAAGCATGGAGAATGAAGACTAGAGTTTGGGAGCCACATACATTATAATTATGCTTTTTATCCCTTGCTCAGTTTTTGCAAAAGATTTCTGCGGAGTTTTAGCCTGGCTTCAACCGGAAATCAGTACTAAGTCTTAAAAGAGGGCAGGGAATTAAGACACAGATGCAAAAGATACAGCATTACAAGATTTTTTTTAAATCTGGAAGACAATTAACATTGTCAATGTTAACTATCAGTGAACAATTTCCTCAGCTCTTCTGTTTTAAATATTTGTTACACATCTAAATTATTTTCATCATTTAAAAACTGATAGAGTGTAAATGACAGCATATTGTGATAAACGTCATAATTGGAATTGTTTAAATAATTTGTATCATTTTCTTAAAATTATAAAATGAAATAACCCCCAAAAACTGCAGAGAAAATTAAAATCGCCCCATAATGCTATTTAATGTAACACTCCAACAATAGCTCTTAAAAAAATACTTGTTACCACTTTATTTCTCTACACACTAATTAAATATTATATATACCTTATTGATTTTCATCACATCTTAGATTCCACAAATATAATTTGTTTATTTCAAAATATTCATTAGCTATTTAGTTCCTTTAATATACCCAGACTCATGTATATTTTCTGTACCTCATTCTTTGCCCCAGGACCAGATTATTATAATATTGTCAGTTTTAAAACTTCAAAGCGGTCACTTTGAATCTGGGACAATGTGAAGAGCCTCACACTGGATTATGAAACTCATTCTTCAAAACTGCCTTGTCGTAGAGTCTCCACTATTATCTCATTTACATCAATGCCTGGTTTACCCAGACTATACGTATAGTAATGGATACATCCAGGACTGCCCCTAGTTTGACTACAAACGCCATAATCTTCATTCTTTTGCTATACAGTGGTGTCTTGCTCTTTGATAGGTTTTGGAGGATTGTTTCCTAAAGGATTGGTTCACTTTTCAGGGTGGCCTAAGTGCCACTCTGTTTTCTCTACCACTGAGTACCATCTGTTGTTGTTGTTTTATTTTAAATGGGGAAACCACAGGGGTGGCTGGGTGGCTCAGTTGGTTAAGCATTCGACTTGGGCTCAGGTCATGACCTTGCAGTCTATGAGTTTGAGTCCCACATCAGGCTCTGTGCTGATGGCTCAGAGCCTGGAGCCTGCTTCTGATTCTGTCTCTTTCTCTCTGTCCTTCCCCTGCTTGCACTCTGTCTCTCTCTCTCAAAATTAAATAAACATAAAAATAAATTCTAAAAAAAAGAACATAAGTTATTTATAAATGGGGAAACTACAGAACCTTTTGGTTTTCTTACCCTTTTTAAGTTTTTTTATCAGTAAACTGAAAATACTTGTTACCTGATTAAAGTACTTGTTTTGTGAAATTACTCTTCCTGCTTTTCTCTCATTCGTCTATTAAGATCTTAGTGTTTTTCTTTTCTGCTTGTATGATCTCTTGTTTAAATCATTTATCCATAGCCTGTAGTCTTGGTTCTCTGATCTAGTATCTTTGAGAATTTCTTCCCTAGAGTTATAATCACCTTGCTTTGGTAGGAGGGAGGTTATCTTACTTACACTGACACACTTCGTGCATGTATTGATCAACTCTGTGTAAGTCCTGGCTAAAGTAATTTCATTTGAATCTTTTTTGGGTCTGGAGAGCTTCTGTTATCATATTTTAATCTTCCGAAGGACAAATCGAAATATCTTGTTAAAACAAAGACCAGCAGTTTTTCATTATAAGCCTGGGAGAGCTAAACTATTTTAAACTTGGATAAAACTTGTTATAGCTGCATGCCGTTACTTACAGACTTCCAGGTGCTAAAAACTGATGAGAATGCAGATGTGCTATGTTGAACCATAGCTCACATAAATTAGATTGGCTGCTATTTCTAGCACATTTTGGTTTCTATTTCTAAATTATCTCTGAGGCTTGTAAGCATTTTCAACCTGTACTTCAAGTATGTATTGATTAAGGAAAGAACACGTATACCATCTGGTGCTGAGGTGTTACTGTGACAGCATCCTCAGACTTTATTTTAAAACATTTACTTGGGGGGGGGGGTGGCTATACTGCTTCAGATATTCATAGAAAAGGAACTTCAGTTTTAATCTTCTTGATAACAGAATAATACATAGGGTGCTGTGATCACTAAATCCTTACAAAATATATTTTGTAGAACTGAGTTTTTCCAAAAAAAAATTACATTGACCATTTGTATTTATATGAATTGGTCTGAATATAATTAGCTATTTAGTTACATTGTAAATGGAAATACTTAGTATGATGATATTATATGGATCATCAAAAAGCTAATTCATCTGAGATAATAAGTATCTAGTTTATCACTCTAAGTATGATATTACGAAGAGGAATAAGCTACACTCTTCTCCCAAAATGCATGATATGCCAGATATTGATCTAAGTGAATTTATGTATTCTCACTTCATTTTTAAAAAACCTTTGAGATAGGATCCATTATGATTTCTATTTTATAGCTGTCAACTGAAACACAAAGAGGTTAACTAATTTGCCCAAGGTAATTTATTTATGCCACTTAAAACAAGTCAAAGACACTATCAGTGCTAATCTAAAGCAATGACTCAGATAAAAGCAGTAGCACAAGTGTTTGATTTTACATGATTTCATATTTTTGATTAAAGTTTATTAAAACTTTAAAATCTTAGCGCTAAGTATGGTGGTTTAAGTTCTTCGTGGATTTGGCGTTACTGCGAATTGCATGTGTATGTGTGTGTATGTGTGTGTATGTATTAAACTATAAGAAAAAATCTTATTATAATTTTCAAATTAAGAGGACTGAAAAAATGTTATTTTTAGAATCATTCATGTGTTTTTGGAGTCTCAGAACACTGGCTGACTATGAAATCCTAATAGGTAATGGCCAACCACAGTGAAGTTATCACCTTCCTAAACACAATTCTACATGAGTTTATAAACAGTGTGCCCTGAACTAGAAGTATGTTTGTACTTTATCAGGAGATGACATCATCCTTTTTTATTAATCACTGAGAAATAGATACATTTGTCAACAATTATTATTTATTACTGATGGAGTTGAAAATGTGTTCTTTGAAATTAACACATACATGCAAACTTTCCACATTCATAGCTATCAGTAAATTTAAATAATTGTGCCATTGTTAATATCAGTTACAGTAAAGCACTGACTACTTGTGGATGTCATTCATTTCGTTTAAACTGTGAAGAAATAAAACGATTAAAGAATCATCCTCATCTTAGGAAACTGATAGTCTAAGAAAAGAAGTCAAACATTCTTTAAGGATAGGTACTAAGTGTTTTAGCCTTTGCAGACCGTACATTGTCCATCATAACTACTCAACTATGTCAGAACAACACTAAACAAGCCACAAATAACAAGTAGAGTGTGGCAGTGTTCTAACAACACTGCATTTGCAAAAATAAGTGGGGGGCTAGTTTTGGTTCATGGGCTGTAGTTTACCAACCCATAATCTGAGTGCTAACATAAAAAGAAACATTAGGAAAATTAATTTATAGAAGATATTAGTGTTTAAGATATTTATGAAATAAATAGAATTACAAAGAAATATATCAAGATCTGCCAAAGTATTTCACAGATGTTTTACCTAATCTTTAAGTATTTCAGTATTTTGATATCCTGTAACTTTGTATTTCATTATCTCCACAGTGAAATAAGTTTTGGCATATTTTAAAAAATGTATTACAATAAATAGTCAAATAGGAAGTAAATGTCACAGGAAACATTTTTATTTACTAGGATTTCACTTTAGTGACAGTCAAGTTTCCAGACAATTACTAGTCCTAAAAATTAAAACATCATCAGTTTTCCGGAAAAAAAAAGAAAAAAATATATATATAAAACATTGCCTACTTTCCTTTGAAAAAGACCCATTGAAATTTAATTTGGAAATATTTGCCTACCTTTGTTAGCATTTCCAAATTTGTTGTATGTTTATATTTTATTTTCTTCTCTTTATTTATTATAAAATAGAGTAGATGCATTTCAAATAAAGTTCAAAACAGACAGATTTTAGAAAAAAAACCCTTGGCCTGCTGGTTTATGGTATCATTGCTGAGCTCATTTCTCAGTTCTCTTGAAATCACTATGAATGCTATTCACAAAATATATAGACAAATGAATGCATTGAAGCACTAAATAAATTCTATGTTATATCCTGTGATCAGTTTATGTGGTTTCTAACAACAAAGTGCATTTTATAAAATAATTTACTTGGTATTTTCTGGATTTTTTATGAATATGTGAAAAATTTGAAAGAATCTTGAATGTTGCAGTATCCAGAAAAGTGCATGTATTATATGTAGTTTGCTTTTTTTAATATAGCAATAGCTCTACAAATATATATTTGGAGATGCATTTTTTAAACCTGAATATGTAAATTTAAATTGGTAGCCTTCCATAGGTGATTGGAGAAGTCATGTAAGCATAACGTCTTGATAAGCTGTGATAAATAATGCCACTGGCATAAGAAATCAGTGGGTCAAATGGACAGGACATTACTCTCCCTCCTAAATTTATAGGTTCTATGCAAACATGTATTTAAAGGACAATTTAGCATGTCTTCTGAATATAAATTTTGCAGGAATTCCTGAGGAAAGATATATTTAAGTGGGCTTACATTTTTATTTGTATGTCTATATTAATTGCATAATCAAATACATTGGCTCATATTTCCTACTGAATAAGCATTTTAAGAAAAATAAAAATAACTATTTAATATAGCTCTGTATTTCTTAAATCCATAAAATGCTTTTTAATTTGAAAGGCATTGTGGAAGAAGTTTCATTGTAATGCATTTAGGGATTTTGCTTTTGAAAAGCAAAGCTGACACCTGTCTAAATTCATAGTGTCTTTATGGTATACTGAGGGAGTGGGATCTCTTCCTTATCTTGGGCTCTCTTGTTTGCTTTTCAGTTGCTGCGAGTGTGGCTGTGGAAGGGCTTCTTCCCTGTGCGCTGTTGCCCATCCAAGCCTAATATGGTTAGTGTTCCCCTCCCGCTTTCACTCCTATGTAATGTCCCACTTCTATGTATTATCGTCAGCATTCCTTTTTTTTTTTTTTCTCCATTTGTGTACATTTTAACAGTTAGTGCACCAGGTATGCCTAAAAGGAGAGTAGATGGAAACCAATTTCCAAAGGGGAATCTTAACAAGTGATTTCACAGGGGATAATTGTCAATAAAATATACATAGAGCACATCATCCTTATCTCAAGCATTCATACTTCTTTTCCAAAGCTTTTACTGTGGTCCTGATTTAAACCAGAAGCTGTAAGATTGTAGATTGGAGCATCTGTTTCACATTTAACATGTTTGTGTGTTTGTTGTTCCATTAAGATGAAAATCATATCATATATGGAAATGGAATGCTACCTCTTGACGAAATGCTACTTCAAATCACCATTTCTCCCTAAGAACCATGGAATGACCATAACTTAACTGGAATTTTTTTTTTTTTTTTTGTAATCATTGTGGATATATGTGGCATTGGAGAACAGAGCCACATGTAATTTTAAATGTTTTTTAATATTTTAAGCGTGAATAATTTCAGATATTTGAAGTGGTATTTCTAATTTGATACCGGTGAAATAAAAAATATGCACATATTGGAGATCAGGGTCCAAAGGGCTAGTCTTAATTACTTACAAATGCAAATCCTAAATATATATCTGGGTTATAGCTATAAAACTATAGGCTAGGCCAAAAGATCAGAGAGCTCTATTCACAGATTTAGAAGGACTCCTGCACAATAGTGTGCTATCATGTTAAAAGTGAAATAATGTAGATAATTTCTTCCCAGATTAAAGATTCTACATCGCTGTACTACTGTATTGAGCTCTTATCTGTAGGTAAAACTTGCTGGGAAAAGATATTCTGAAATGCATTTTAGAGAAGTATAGGGCTTCCTTGGGGTACTGTAAATTGTAACTTGTATTCTCTAGGTGTAAATTAATTTTTGTTGATTACAAAAACTGGTGTGAATATGTATGCATGTGTGTGTACATGTGAGAAATGGTGGAGTGGATATCAGTGATCTTCTGAGAACAGGAGAAAGTTACAAGCAGGTTGCCAAAAATCAGAGATCTTTTTCTCAACCTTTTGAAAATTGTGTATTTGAAGGAAAATTTTGAGGTTAATATGAAAGCAGAGATTTATTCCACATGATTTCATTTACTCCACAAATTCTTTTATGAGCATGGGGCTTTGATGACAAACCACAAATTCCTGAAATCTGGCAATGGCTAAAGTATAACATAAATATGGCTTTACACTGTGATTTTATTTAAACTGCTGTATGAAAAGCTAAAAGAAACAAACAAAAATGGTTGCTGAATTGTTCAAGCTACTTGAGTCTTAAGTAGAATTGTCATAAGAGATAAATCATCACTGATGCAGAATAGGCAGATTTTACATCTTGGAAAAAAAAGATCAAAATCCAGGCCTGCCTTGAAGTAAATCTCAAAGATAATGAGAGTATGAACATTCATGAAGACATGACTTAGAAGTATTGGCAAAAACAAACTTTAGCTAGATCTTAAATGCTTGATTTAAGGAAAAGTGGAAAGGCAGAATGCTTCCTTCACAAAAAACCCTAAGATAACACAATCATTTTTCTAATATTTTTTTTCAAATAATGCTAGCAGTTGTGGAGGCAGTGAGGGATTTGTGTGTGTATGTATATTTATGTGTGTATGTATGTGTGCATACACTGAATGAATGAATGAATGAATGAATGAATGATTTAGCCACAAATATGCTTAGATACTTAATAAAATGCCAACAGTTTTTGTGGAAAAATATATGAAAGATCCAGAATGTTTTTAATACATTCTTAGTGAAATGAAACAAAATAAAGCAAAGAAACAAACATAATTTATCTTATATAATTAGACTGTAAGAGAGTTTTCCAAAATTACTACTGGAAAAGAATGGAAGCTTCAAATATGTTTATTGTTAAATAGCTTTCTGAAACTCCATTTTATAATTGAATTTTAAGTCACTAAGAAGTTTCAGTTAAAGATAGTATTTGTTTAGATTAAAGCATTGATGAGAAAACAATCTTTTATAATGGAAATTAAAGGCTGAGAAGAATAATTTTCCTACTAGAGTCAGTAAAATACTGAAAAATCTTGACTGAAATCTTATCACCTAATTTCATATGTATAATCATATCAGTATAAGTCATAAAAATTTTCAAAGGAAAGTCTCTATCATCATCATTTGTGAATAGACATATTTACAATTACAGAACAAAGGTTGTTAGACATTTGGGGATATTGGAATGTCACTGTTTTTCATTCCTGGAAAGACCACTCATGTGTGGTTGGTTTTGACCTTAATATAATGCAACACATGTACATTAAAATTGCCCACTGTAAATTTACTGGCTTTTAAAGGTACCTTGATATACCTTATGGAAATCTCAGAATCTGAGAAGCATAATTTTGAAGACATTGATTTAGGTCTTTGGTTCTACAGTTCAACTATATTAAAACTTCCTCAATGCTCCAGAGTTCTGAGCTTTGCTCTATCTTCCATTAGAAAACCAAATGTATTTCAAATACATGATGTGTCATTTATAAGATGATATTGGTAATTCGATGTTGCCACCTTTGATCTCAAAGTATTTTTCATCACTCTACTTGCCCACTTGTTATGAAATCTGTACAGATATATAATAATGTTAATATTTCAAATACTCTTTCTTCATTGACTTAAATCTATCCAATGATAGAAGATATTTCTGTAATATTTCTCTACCCACTGATAGAAGACATTTCTGTAATATTTCTGAATGAAACCTGATGTCTAAATTTTAGTTACACCATGCCCAATATTGCCTACATTTTTAGCTTTGATCTTTTACTATATGCCATCACAGCTGGTTTGAGATTCTATTATTTTACTTCTCAAAAAAAAAATCTATTTTTACAAATACCCAATGTTGAACAAATTGGTTTTTAGTGCAAGTAAGATGTTAATGTATGTAATTTCTAGAATAGTATTATAATTTATCCCTTAATATTCATTTGTGTTTATGTTTACAAATGGCAAAATATGTTTATAGCATAATATTTTTTTAAGTCCATCTGAAAGATCTCATGGTCCCAAAATAGCCTTTTCTTGTGTTTCTTAAATTCGAACATATGCTAGACTATTTTCTTCATTCATTAGTTTTCATGCTTTTCAAGTGTTTTCGTAGACCACTTACTATTTTTTCTGAAGTGTTCATGTGGCAAGAGAAATGGAGTTTTATATTCCAAAAACAAAGCATTAAATGTTCATTTACCTATCCTGTGCTTTTTTTTAAGATATCAGTGTCATTTTTAAAGAGTTTTTTAAATATTATTAATCAGATATGAGGGGAAAACTTTAGCTTCTCTCATAATGCAGAGATTAAGACCAAAACCAAAACAAATTTCTCTGCCCAAAAAGATCACAAAATTACATTGGATCATTGTCTTAATGTTTCAATAAACTATTTTTCTTTCTCTATATTAAGTGAAAGTTTCTTAAAATTTGAAGTAAACAAATTTTTATTTTTATATACGTGCAACAGAGATTATTTCATTCCTCTTCACAACATTTCTGCCAGGGAGGAATGTGGAAATACTATCCCATTTTATAGATTTAGGAAAGAGACAGAAAACAAAATTATGCCTTCTAATTCTAGACCCTCATTTAAAGTGCTCATAGAAGGCAGATGTGAGTCTTGCTTACTATATATATATATATATATATATATATATATATATATATATAAAATATCCAATTCCATTTGAAGGCTTCCTATGTAAAATACAACTCTGAACTGTTCCAAAATCCCTTTTATAATACTTGTAGAACCGCAGGCGATAGTGGTTACTCAGTGGGCCTACTCTAATTGAGAAATTCAGTGGTCATACCCATGAAATAGTTTAAAACTTAAGAGATATTACTTACTCTCACATTAGAACAAAATTTACTGAAAACAGGGAGACAATCTTCACATGTCATACTTTATGAAATGTGTTTTTATATCAAAATTCTAAGTCAATTAAAATTCAACTCAATATGAAAAGTCTGTAATTCGTCTTTGAGTTTTTTGAGGTATTTGAAATTGTACAAGTCTTCGTATTGTTAATTCTAAAATGATTTGAAGAGTTCCTTCACGAAAAGTTTACAAATTCATAGGTACTATACTATTTTGGAATGTGTAATTTCCAAGGTATTCTTTTTTCTTTGTCTTTTAAAATGTAGAAATTACAAATGGTATGTAAGGCATAAAATAAGAAATAAGTTAGTGTCTCATACTGACTTTAATCACAGAGTGGTTAGTATCTTGATAGAATGTGAGATGGGACCTCGCAAGCTAGGTCCTTATTTTGTGTGGTATCATCATTCCATTCCCATATCCCAAGGAAAGTGTGATTTTCAACTGAGTACATTGTCTCTCGAAAAGTATATGTGAGAATTTTCAGTAAACAATAATGGATCACTTGCACTGTTTGTATAACTGAAATCTATCTTTAAGGAACTCAAAAATCACAGTACTCTAAAGACCAATGTGAACTATATGAATGAGAGTCAAGATCCTGCCAGCAATACAGCCTAAATATCCAAAGTCGCATTTCACTACATTTTCAATTCACATTCTTATTGAAGAATGTTGTCCCAAAAAACAAAACCTAACCTATTTCCATTATTCATTAGATATATTAATAAACTCATGTTTATATACCTCTTTATTTTATGAGGCTGAATTAGCTGAGCTTTTATTAAAACTACTTTTGTTCAGTTGGAGAGAATCCTGAAGTGAAAAAGTCAGACTATTTCCTCAAAATATGTAACTTATGCTTTTTAAGATTCCAGCAATAAAAGTCTTACACATTACATGGTGGTTGAGGTCACTATTATGTATGAATAAGAAAGTGTGCATATATGGAGAAATGCAGTTTTTAAAGAGATTTAAATTACAAGGAGATTTTATTTTCCGTAAGCAAAACATACTGCCTCTGTGTATGCTACAATTTGTTGCCTTAAGAATATTTTTCCTTTAAAATATAGGTAAAGCATTTCTTAATCAATCTGGAAAATAGAGGAACAAGATCAGAGTTTCCGTTTCTGAGCTAGGGACTGCATATGCTCACTCTTTTAAAGAAATCAAACTGCAGAACTATTTCTTCTCCCATCATTGCACCCCTCCCCACCTAATTTAGAATTCAGTGGGGAAAAAAAAAGTGATTTTTCAGTGTTTATCTGTAGGCAAAAGTAATGGAAAACTCTGATTCTGTGGAAGCTATAGTTGAGCAAGGATCTATGATCTCCCTTGGCTCTTGCATTCACTCATCTTTCCTCATTGGCCATAAGGGTTCCATTTAATAAATTACTGATTCTCTGCATTGCTTGGGACTCAGGAGGGCTTGATATTCATACCTCTAATTTATCATCAAATTCTTAATTTCCATCCAAGAACCAAATTACTCATTGGCACATGCATACATACATACATACATACATAAAGATTATTGCTTACTCTTTCATGTATTATGGAAATCTCAGATATCCAAATTTAGATGTCATGGTTGGGGCCAAATTTTTAAGATCAGAATTAACATCATCAAGGATGCATTACCCAAATTCTTAGGGTAAGTATGGGAGAAAATAGACTGATTTCTAAATGACCTATAAAGTCATTGTTATATTTACCTATTAACTGTCTCGCTAGGACTTTTTAATAAATATTAATTAATGATTATGAATTACACCTACATTTAATATGATTTCTCATGCCCACCTCTACTACTAAACAATAAGGTGATATTGTTCTCTAGGAGAAAATAAGTATAAATGACTACAAGATGATTCCTCTAACTAGAAACACTAAAGATATTTTTAGTACAATGATATCAAAGCTCATTAAAATTGTGATATGGAGCAAAATGAAGAAACGGTTTCTTTTCCACTCAGAAAAAAAAAAAATCAGTTCCAGAAGGTAGGAGGCATAATTTATGTACAGAATGGCATATTTATTGACTGTTTGTCTGATGGGTTAAAATTATGCATCTGGAGCAGGTACAGACGATGATGCTGAATGAACAGGCGTCCTGCAATGCTTTGTTAGTGAGGCTGAGCCGCTGCTTGGTGCCAGTATCTGCCAGCTGCACTTTTACTTGCTGTATCTTGTTGAGGCTTGTTTTAATGATGCTTTGGGGGGTTCCAGAACTTAATTTTATATGTTAATGTGACATGCAGCCGTATATGTTATAGAACTCCAGAGATGCCCATAGTCAAAAATAACTCCTTTCTATTGCCCTCCTGACTCTCACCCTAGGTATTAAAATGTTAACCAGTCCTCACCAAGGTATTCCCAAATCCCTTTTTAGATGAGATCCAAGGTTTTATTTCCATTTTCATATGAGGAACCTGCATGCAATTTAAACATCCATGAGGCTTATTTAATGATAAAGACTATTTGACGATACAGGTTTGAAAGCTCTTTTCTTTTCTTTTTTTTTCTTTTGAAGGTAGGAGAGTAGAAGGTAGACTGGATGTTTGTTTTCTAAAGTAAACTGAAACAACTCGTATACTTTTCAGGTCTCTTTAGAATTCTTCTAACAAAGTTTTTTTTGTCAGTATTATTTAAATAACATAAATCTCGGGATGATTTTACACAATTTTAGTTAGAACATTGATTTTCAAAAGTAACAGTAACTTCTCTCTAGAGACACATGAATTAAAGATTGAAAGAATAACACAGTATCTAGAAAAATTATGAACAATGCATTAAAATAAATTTCACACAAAATGTAATTTTAGTATGATTTTATGTATTTTTTTTCTCTCCATTTCACTGCAGTAAGTTGATTCAAGATGTCTTAAGGACTCTTGGATGACTAATGCAGCTATCTAAGTGTTATGAGTAAAATTTGAAAAGCCACCAGATCCCCATTGTGTATTTTTCCTCACCTGAGAACAGCATATCTATTAAGTTATTACTTCAGATTTCTTCAGATTTCACTAGCTGTATTTTATTAGTAAATTGCCAGTTCTTCAACATGATAAAACAAAAATAATTGTATTTTTCTTTCAAAAATGACACAAAGATGGGTTGTGTTATCTACTTTGTAAAATACATATGTAATTATGTACTAGGAAATGATATAGAATAAAATAGGTTTTATTTTTCCATCGAAATAGAGACATATTTAAGAAATAACGTGGAATATATAAACAAGGAAGAGTCCTCGTTTGTATGTGTTGATTGAACACTTCATTTACATCACATAGTAGTTTTCAACCAACTTTGTAATGAAAATATTTTGTCAGTCTGCCATTTTGGCTGTATATTTTTTATGTAGAAATAAATGGAAATTTTGTTTTTAATAAATTCAATTTTGTTATGGAGCTTATGAAGAATAAATTCACTTCCTTAGAATTTCACTAAAAGTAATTTAAATATTTTCATTTTTGTCACTTGTTTTAATGTTGTATGGTTAATCATGTACCACATCAATTTAGTATTCATCAGCATATTTCTTCTCCAAACACTTGTCATTGTGTAGATGCAATCAAAATATCATTCATTCATTCATGTATCCATTCATCAATGTGACAAATATTTTTGGTGCCAACTCTGAGACAGACACTGGGTCACTGCAGAAATTTATAGGTAAATGCTAGTTTCTGCCGTTCAAGAAACTGACAATGAGTAAGAGACCCAGAAAACATATTGAAATGATTATGTTGCATTGAAATGGGAATCACAATGTGAGAGGGGTACAGAAAGCTCTTGGGTTCAGAAAGCTATTGGGAAATAGGGCATTATGTTGGGGTATCAGAAACAAAAGCATGAAGGAGGCAAAAATTGAACTAGACTTTGATAACTGAAAATTGTTACAAACAGCATCCTAGGTGTAGGAACCAGCATATGCACATTATGGAAACATGGGGAAATATCTTGAAGACCTGAAGATAGTTCAGTATACTTGAAGATAACAGAGAAAGTGTAGGAAATATGTATGAGGGCTATATTTAGGAATCCACACCTTATTATTTTATGGAAGATTTTGCAGGAGACAGCTAACAACACAGAAAGGTACCTTGTTTACAGTAATCTGGCTACAGCCATGTCTTGTAGAATTTAGGACAACAGTTACAGAATGCAGGGGCATCTGTTTAGAGGCACTTACTGCAATCCAAAAGAAAAATAACAAAGCCTTAATTGAAGAAGCAGTAGACCTAATGAAAAAGAAGAGATGAATTGTAAGACTTTGACGTTATACAATGCTTGGGATTTGGCAACTAATTTGTTGTGAAGTACAGGAGAATATGGCTTTGTTCTTAAAGGGGCCAAGGCCTTGCCAATGTTAGTAACAGGAAAAGCAGGCAATGGATCAAGATTGAAAGTAAAGAGAAATATACTGATTTGTTTTTCAGACCTATTGAGTCTGTATGCCAGTGGAATACTCCTGTAAAATAAATCTATGAGGGACAAGAGTGTAACTTTCAAAAGAATTAAATCAGAATAGAGGTATTAATTAAATGGATGGAAATGAATGGTTGATGGTAGAAGAGAGAAGTAAGAAGCATCGCAAAAGGAGTAGAGATTTCAGTCCATCATGAATAATTAAAAACTAAGATAAAGTCATGAGGTGACTCTCATTAGTGAACCTCCAAACACAGATTTTTTTTTCAGCAACAAGAGCAGGTTTCAAAGACTGGTAAATTAGTAAGTAGTTGAGTAAAACAGGAGAGAATAAAATTTGGGAAGTGGGGCTGAATTGAGAGAAGTTGCAGATTATGGTAAATTTGGTAGTGATCTAAGTGGACTGAGTGGAGAAGAGCAACTTTACTTCAAAACTCCAATACAAGAGAAAAAAAAATGATAGAGTAAGATACTAATTCAATAGAAACTATTTTGGGCAATTCATTCTGTAAAAAGTCTTCTGAGGTGACAAAAAAAATTTAAGAATGAAAAAGAACAGAAACATGTCTGGTGTATGGTGTATGGTGAAGAGAAGGGTTTTGGGGGTGTTGTTTGTTTGTTTGTTTTAAATGGGTCTGGATGGCTTCAGACTTCTCCGTGAAATCTGGGCAAGAGTGAGAGACGCTGGTTTGGGAAATATGACTCATCCAAAAGAAGGACTGGTGTTTTTACACGCTGCTGGTGTGAAAATCAGTCAGGGCTGCACTCATTTCAATTGCGTTTCATGCTTCTGGGCTTCACGTGATCAACATTTGGAGATGTAGCTAATTGTAGCTTACTCTGTTCCAGGCGGTGTGGTTACAGCAAAGCAAAGCAAGATCCAGAAGAGGAAAAGATGCATTTTCATAATGGGCACAGTAAGCAAATTGTGAAAAATCAAAAGGAAACAAAATAGAAGAGATTTTATTGTTATTTTAGTTCATTTTCAGACAAGGAGATGTAATAACTGACCAAAATATTTTGTTTAAAACAATGTGTTATGTTACATTCCGTCAAGCATATGGGCTTGGGGGCACTGCTGGTTGACCCTAGACAACAGCTGGATGGTTTTTTAGATTTTTTAAAGCATACCTTCATTATAATTACTTAAAAAATTTTTCAATCAATATAAAAAGCTGTTATATTTCAAACCAAATTTCCAGGTCGATTCTAATTTCTTGCAACACATTCAGTAAAAATCTATGGTTCAATAACACCATCAGATTAAATGAATAAAATTTCTCAGTATTTTTTTTTCTTCCTCTAGCATGATAGCAAGAATTTCCCTGAGCAGATCCGGTAGCAACAACCGTCATTTGATGATTTGAAAAAGACTATCCTTTTTAAAAACGCAGAAAATCAAGTTTTTATAACATGCATTATAAATTAGCCTAAATGAGTTCTAATTAATGGTATTTTAATATGTGCATTTTTAATAAATAGTACAGTGTTAGTTGATTTGTTAAGTAAATTACAAGAAGAATTTCTTGTGTTTTTGTCACTCTCCTGTGACTATAAAAATCAAAGCCATTAAAGCCATAATTCATGCTGCAAAATATTGAGTCTATTATCATAGTTCCCATCTTATTTAATGGTATTTATCCTCAAAAAAAAAAAAAGACCCTGTGAAATTGGTAGTCTTTAAATGTGATAAAACTGAAGCTCATAGAACATTAGAGTCTTGTATAAAGTCATGCAGTAACAGAGGTATGACAAGTTGAACTTTTCTTTTAGTTCTGTGTCAGTCTTACTGGACCAAAGCTCCAGAAAAATTATTTTAAATTATTTTTTGTGAAACCAAAAGTAACCATCTGTGATGGCATTTTATTTTTTTTTAAATTTTTTAAAAATATTTATTTGAGAGAGAGAGAGATATAGAGAGAGACACAGAGTGTGAGCAGGGGAGGGGCAGAGAGAGAGGGAGACACAGAATCTGAAGCAGGCTCCAGGCTCCTAGCTGTCAGCACAGAGCCCGACGCGGGGCTTGAACCCACACACCGTGATATCATGACCTGAGCGGAAGTCAGAAGCTCAACTGACTGAGCCACACAGGTGCCCCTCTATGAAGGCATTTTAAGTGAAATAGAATAACAAAGCAACAAATAACTCACTAACATTTCATTGCCAAGTTTAGTAAACAAAATTATCTTAGTTTGCCTCAGGCACTGACTCTCAACATCAGTGATGTGCCTTTTCAAGTATGTTGTCATATATGCATTTCTTGCACAGGCCAACAATCCAGATTTCTTAAAATTATGTAAGTGACATAGCTGTACAAATGACTCCTATAACTCAGGAGAGGGGCTGTCCTTACAGCTTGGCCATTTCTAGGAGTTAAGAATTTAAGCCAGAGGTGCATGTTAATAATGTTTGTGATTCCATTCATCCATCACAAGCACTTATATTTTAATGCACATTTATGTTTCCAGTTAAACTGCCAGGAGTAAGAACTTATATTGATCCACACACCTATGAGGATCCCAATCAAGCTGTCCATGAATTTGCCAAGGAGATAGAAGCTTCATGCATCACCATTGAAAGAGTTATTGGAGCAGGTACAACAGTGTGTTTAACTTGGACTTTTAAGTTGTGTTTATATTATAGAATGTAATATGTCAATGTCCTGATCTAACAAAGAATGTTTTTAATCTTTTGTAATCGACTTGCTTTCAAAGTGGTAGGTAATTGATCATATTTTAATGCTTCCTTCTGTGGAGCTCATATATTTTTTTTTTATAAATTTTTTTTTTAACGTTTATTTATTTTGGGACAGAGAGAGACAGAGCATGAATGGGGGAGGGGCAGAGAGAGAGGGAGACAGAGAATCGGAAACAGGCTCCAGGCTCTGAGCCATCAGCCCAGAGCCTGGCACGGGGCTCGAACTCACGGACCGCGAGATCGTGACCTGAGCTGAAGTCGGACGCCTAACCGACTGCGCCACCCAGGCGCCCCTGTGGAGCTCATATTTAAACCAGCAAATGTTTTCTTTATTAAATAAATAAATAAATAAATAAATAAGTAAGTAAAGTAGCAAAAGTATGTATATTTTATACATATTTATATACATTATAAAGTGTACAGTGTTTTATCATCTACTGTTTCTTTCATTCCATATATAATCTGTAATGCCCAAAACTATTTACATAATTTAAGCACTCAGATACTCTATTTATGAGTCATCTCTTCCTTGAAATTGTTCCCTTTTTGTCCTGCTATAAACTTTTCTCCTTTTCCCTTCTCAGTAATTAAGGCACTGCTAGTGTAGACACAGAAGGAAGATGCGAGTGATTTTCAATCAGTTGCATTTAATTTCTTTCTAATGTTTTCATTAAGGTTTTTGTAGGTGAGATGAATGAAGCTAATAACCCCCAGAGTGTTTAATGATCACCTGTAGACGATTTTTCCCAAAGCACCACTTCTTAACCCTGATAACAAAGTTGGACTCCCATTTCAATTCTGTTTTGTCTCTACCTTAATAGGGCTTTAGTGCATTCATAGAGTAAGGATTTGAAATGAGTTTGTGGGTTTTTTTTAATCTTTATCACAAGGTGAATTTGGTGAAGTTTGTAGTGGACGGTTGAAACTTCCGGGAAAAAGGGAATTACCTGTGGCAATCAAAACCCTCAAAGTAGGCTATACAGAAAAGCAACGCCGAGATTTCCTGGGCGAAGCAAGTATCATGGGGCAGTTTGATCATCCTAACATCATCCACTTAGAAGGTGTTGTGACCAAAAGTAAGTACAGTAGCAAATTATGTGTGTGTGTGTGTGTGTGTGTGTGTGTGTGTGTGTATGTTTGCATGTATTATGAACATCTGGGTTTCTTCTATTAGGTTATTATTAATTTCAGGATAAAAAGAAAAATAGCCACAGTAATGTTATTAACAATTTCATTGGCATTAATACTAATTGTCCTGTATTTTAGTAGAGTTTTGTCAAAGTCATTGATCATCAATGAACCTGAATTTCTGTTTAGTTTTTCAAAACATATGTATTAACTCGTGTACTATGAATTCACTGCCAGAGAAAAATGTATCCAAATTAAAGGAGTCGTAAATGTATCAACATTGCTTTTTCTTCTGACTCTTCCCTTTTTATCCTAATAAAATATTAACTTCAATGTTTTGATTGAGGCATTGAAGTTTAACATTTAATAGGATTACTATAACCATAGGTGGTTTAATAACTTCAGGGAAAGCAGCAGTCAGCCACAGACAACTGGAAAAGTTCCTTGAGATTAATTATTTTCTTAAAGAAAATCTAATTTGTACTCAAAAAATATCTAGAGTTTCAAATCTCTTTTAAACGTGTATGTGTGTCATTAATGTGGTTATGTGGCGAGCTTCCCAGTATAAAGAGTTCCAGTAATTTTTCAGCCATCCAATAAAGTATTTTCAAGTGACATAACGAAGGTCTTTATTTTATTTAAATTCATTTAGTCTTTGCTATGTCTATGTGCTCTCATTCCTTCCTTTGTCCCTCATACCCTACTTACCACTTTCTAAATCATCTAGAAATTTTATCAGGGAATATTCTTTAGACTTGCTTTCAATAATTTGTTCCCCTTCCCATTGCTATTAATCAATTTTTAAATTATATGTGCCAAATATGCATAGCAGTGATATGTATTCAATAAATGCTGTGAATCTACTAAGTAATTTCATTTGATTGGGTATCGACTTCCATCACTTATTGACATAAGTGGGTTGGATATCCACTTATTTAATTTTTAAATATGGAAAACAGAGCAGAAACAATATACAACTTTTTTGCAATGCAGACAAAAGAAACAACTCAAAATATTTACCTGGTAAATAACGAGTGAATTCCCAAATCATATATTCACAATAGGTCACAGATGAGAATGTAGAATCCCTTTAAAAGTCCTAAAACAGACCACAGTAACATTATTGTGTTGTTGATTGTCTGAACTTTTGAATCAGCTTGTATTGCTAGGAGATTGTTTTTTTCCCGTGTCTCAAAAGAAATACACACTTCCAGTAAAAATTCTCATGGAGGAATGTAGTAGAAGAATAAAATGACCTGCAGACATGTGGGTTTCTTCAAAATTTAGATGTGTTTCTTCTTCCATTTGAGTACATGCCCATACGTTATTGTCCCCTTGACAGTAACCAAAGAGGGTATTACTGGAGCAAGGGCATCCTTAATTCTTATCAGAACAAATAGGTTCTTACAGAGAGATGAGAGGAGAGACAGGGACAAGAGAAAGACAGGTAGAGAACAAGGAAAAATATGTTTTTTTAGTAACTAAGAAATTAAATATTTTACAAAACTTATACCCAGTGATGAATGAGCAGGAATATTTGAAATAAGAATACAGTGTGGAAAAAAAATGGTCACCAGTACAATTAAATGAAATCTGAATTTGAACATGACCACATTTTATCTGAGGAAAAGGACTTTAAAAGGACATCAGTGATAGCATGTGGTGCCAGATACTATAGGTTCCAGAATTATAATAGTAAGTGATTATTATATTTTCCTATGCATTAATGATACTATCTAATATAAAATGTAGTTATTAATTATATTCATGATAATAATAGTAGGCAAATACTGAATACATGTCATGTCTTCATCTCATCCTTAATACGGCTGCCAAATTTAACTTCCTCAAATAAACTCTAGCCATGAATTTTTATTACCCATGGTAAACGTGAAGCTCTTAGACAGCAAGTCTACCTTCTGGAATGAGTTCAGATAATGAATGTAATGTTTAGAACAGTGCCAGGTCGCTATTATTACTATGGAAGACAGTATTGCATAGTGGTCAAGAACATGGACGATGGATCTAGCCATATATTATAATTTTGGTTCTGCCATAAATGATGTGACTTTGCACAAGTTAAACATTCAGAACCATAGTTTCCTCATCAATGATAAGAGATAAGAATAGCTCCTAGCGATGTAAAAGGGACATGAATTAATATAGATAAAGTTTCGGACAGGCATGGCAGGGTACTAACAGATATATAGGTATCACTTTCCCATTATATCTGTTCCTGTGCTCTGAACTCCTTCATATGCCATGTCTTTTAGTCCATTTTAACATGCTTGATATTTTGATCTGCCTACATTGCTTCTTCCTCTGAAATTTACACCGTTGTATTTACTACCTTTTCAGATCCTTCAAAATCCTGTTCAAATCTCATCACATCCATGAGACAATCCCTCACCACTTCACCATGAAGTAATCCCTCCTTCTTTTGAACACTGTGCCAATGTACAAATTTTTGCAAATGTCTATAATGATCCTTCCTATGTCCAAAATTCTTACTCACATCTTTCATTTAATTTTTTCCGTTTTGCATATATTTTTAACTCTTACCTACAAATTGTCTGCTTGTCAAAGATAAAGACAATGTCCTATAAATTTATGTAAGCCTATTACACTTAATGCTAAACGAATCCATGGGCACCTTACTTAAACACTTTGAGCTTCAATATCACCAAAAAAAGGGGGAGGTCATACCTAACTTGTAAGATTGTTGTACAGATTAAATTCAGATATATTTTTGTGTTAGGTATACATGTGAAAAAATCTGCAGGTAATTATAGTAGTTTATGTAGGTATAGTGGTATGTTTATTTTAATCTAAGTTAATGCATTAGATACTAGTGGACAATACCCTAAAATAATTATGACTAATACTACCTACTTTTATAGACTCCTGATTTATTACAGAACTTGTTTAATGTGAATGGGTCCTGACTGAGACAAACTAAGATAACTAAATCTTTTATATTAAGTCAACTAAATTTGTCATATACTGGGATGTCTGGGTGGCTCAGTCGGTTAATCATCCAACTTTGGCTTAGGTCATGGTCTCATGGTTTATAAGTTCAAGTCCTATATCTGGCTCTCTGCTGTCAGCATACAGCCTGCTTCAGATCCTCTGTCCCCCTCTATCTCTGCCCCTTCCCTGCTCACACTTTCTCTCTTTCTCAAAACTAAATAAACATGTAAAAAATAAATTTGTCATGTACTTTATATGCACTTGAAACCTTTATTTGTGCTTATTTTCATTTTTAATTTTTATTTATTTATTTCGAGAGAGAGAGAAGGAGAGAGCAGGAGAGGGACAGAGAATCCAAGCAGGCTCCACATTGTCAGCATAGAGGCCGACATGGGGCTTGATCCCACAAACCATGAGATCATAACCTGAGCCAACATCAAGAGTGGGTCGTTTAGGGGCGCCTGGGTGGCACAGTCGGTTAAGCGTCCGACTTCGGCCAGGTCACGATCTCACGGTCCGTGAGTTCGAGCCCTGCGTTGGGCTCTGGGCTGATGGGTCAGAGCCTGGAGCCTGTTTCCGATTCTGTGTCTCCCTCTCTCTCTGCCCCTCCCCCATTCATGCTCTGTCTCTCTCTGTCCCAAAAATAAATAAACGTTGGAAAAAAAAAAAAAAAAGAGTGGGTCGTTTAACTGAATGAGCCACCCAGGTGCCCCGAAAACCTTGTTTTAAAAGCAAGTGTCATTATCAACAAATGATCCTACCTAAATTTTGTACATTTTGGTCTTAAAAACAGTACTGTGGTTGGGAATACAGATTTGAAATTTCTAGTCTCCTAATTGAATGTTCTATTTGATGTTGCCACCCTGAAACTACACATACGCATGAAGCAAAAGGAAAATATTTAAAATAATTCTGTCTTATATTCTATGTGAACTCAGACTGCATTCCCCTTAATAAATGTACCTCTTGATGTTCAACTGAGGAAGTCTTCAACTTGTTTTTAATTTAGCATGTTGCAACTCACTTTATTTGTGTCCTTAATTTCATGCTCTCTGATCTGATGCTAATTTATTCAACAATTATTCTCAACCTGCAGCACACAGATAATGAGACATAAGTGCAACTGAATCGTGTTATTTTTCTGATTGAAGCTGAGGGAGGGAGTCTGAAGTAGCACTTCTATGGATGATGTCATCATGAACCTTCATCTTTCTGGTATCACTGCCCTATGTGCCAGAAAGATGGGCCTGAATTCAAATTCCTTCTCTGATGTGTTGTTAAATAGGGCATATCATAAATAGTTATATATTCTAGAGAGATTTCATGAGAAATGATGTAAAAAACCCACAGGCCCTGCCTTAATTGACTTATTCACAGTGCAGTATGCTTTCATGTAATATATACAGGGCCAACTTTTACTATTTAAAGAGATTAAAAAATAAAATAAAAATATCAAATTTTCCCATCACAGCATCTTTAGTTCTTTAAGACTTATTTTTCCATACTCCTGGAAATTATTATCGAAGTTGACTAAAGGAATGTTTCTTTTGAATCTTAAAGTGATTCATAGTTATATTTCTTAATCCAGGATCAAGTACAAACAAGTTTAGTTCTTCTGTAAAATTAATCAATTTAAACAAAATATTAAAGGAACTTTAGAGAAGTCTCTCCCTATTTCTTTTTATTTCTACGTCTGAGTAGATGGCACCTTCAATGACAATTAATTATTTACATTGTCAGACAATTCTTGACTTATTTTATAAATATGTAATTACCTTCAACTATAGTATTTCATTCTATCTTATAAAGTCACTTCGATTTTATTATATATTATACATTATCCTGAGCTATTTCAAGCAATCTTCAAGCAAGTCTTCCTATTTTTGTATTTTCTCACATTAGCCCCTCCATACATACTATCCCAAGGTAGATTTTACTTAATCACTGCTTTCCTCTGATGCTTAATCACCAAACAAGC